AACTAGTTACCTTCCTCTGCATCTCAGCTGTGTTCAGTAACACCCTTCCAGACTTCTTTATTTGTCACTGAGCATTTGGAATTGAACTGGCTTTGAGAGGATGGTGGAGATACTGTCGTGTTTCCTTGGTTACCTTGACTGCCAGGAGACTCACAACTATTCTGCACTTTTGTCGCTGTAAATCTCGCCTTTGGTGCTCAGGATGAGTCTCTCTTCCTTGATGTGATTTCTGACTTCTCTGTTAACCTTTGTTTTCATCGTGCTGTGCACATCGCTCTTTTACTCCCAGTATTTGTTGGGTTTTGGCCCTGACGTTGGAGTCTGGATTCCTGGCATTATTACCTGCTCTGACTGGAGTCTGAGCTGAGTTGTTGGAGTCATTCCGTGGCTCCCCTTCTCCCTTCACAAGCATGGTCCGAGGCCTCCTTTCGGTCCGAAGCAGAGCTTCCTTCCTCTTGGAGGAATGAGGGGCCACCCCGGCTCCAGGCTTGTGCCTGTGGAGGGAAGGTGGCACCTGTCTCAGGCACGCTCATGCCCAGGTCATCTCTTTCCATTCTGGTAGCTTGAGTGTGGCACTCGGATGAGGGGTGTCTCCTTGGCAGGGGGAGTGTGGACTTGGGGTACATATCCTGGCCCTGCCACCTGCAGTTGGCCACTGGCGTGTGGGGTTGTTTTAGAGACTCAGAAACATCTGAGGTTGTTTCATTTAGCAGTGGCAACTGGTGAGTCTTCCATCCCCACGCTTGGGCACACAGGGCTGCTCTGTGAACCTCAGCTCATTGCCCAGAGATGCAGCCTGTGGGCGGCAGGTGTCCACGTGGCCAGGTGCCTCGGGCAACCTACAGTCAAGTTCCCTGTTGTTTCCCGAGCAACTGCTTCCCCGAATGCAGCAAGAGAGCATTGTTTCGCTGTAAATACTTTGGTATTAAGATGTAATTAAATTCCCTCATACTCAATTGGTTGTCCTCATGTAACTTGGAGATGGTTCTAGAGCTCGGGCTGCAGTGGCCACTTGTGGTTGTCTTGTCATCCTCCTGCCCTGCAGGGTGCATCTGGGGCCCCCACACTGCTGTGCCCATTCTGTGGTCCTCCCTGCGCCAGCTGCTCCCCTGAGAAGTGGGCTTGAACCCCACTCAAGGGCATTCCCTTGGCCCTGCCCTCACCCCCTCATTGGCTACCCAGATCGTGTCCCCTGTGTCATGTGGTTCCCTGGAGGAATCCTGGTGATAATGCCATCAGAGGCAGCTCACATCTTAAGAGCAGTGTGCCTGGGCCTGCCCCGGAGGGGCCTAGAGTCCCTAGTCTTGTGTCTTTCCCCTGAGGGGAGCAAGTCCATGGGGGAACAGTTCTGCAGCTCTCAGGGTCACCGTTCATCCTGGTTTATTATGAGAAATCAAGGCCTTTTTCATCACTTACTGGATGTCCCCCGCTGTTTGTCCTGCGGAGTGCAGTTCCGGCCTGCAGGCCACACGCCTCCATCAGGGTCTGAGGGGGATTAGCCCTGGTGCCTTCCTGCCTGGCTCCTCCGCCCACCTCCCCAGACAAACTCTGCTCGCTGCCATCTTATTTACCTCTGTATTGCCCCTGTCATATAATCGGGTTTATTATCTTGGGCTGGCGACACAGGGATCATGGCGAGGCCTGGTGGGTACACAGATGCACGCTGTGAAACCAGCCCACTGATCAGCCTTTGGTGGGTAGGGTGTGGGGGTGCTCAGCGCTCCTGAGAGACACACAAAGCCCTGGACATGTGGGAGCTCCGTGAAAGTCACTGCCTCAAATGACCAGCCCTGTATATGGCTACTAATGTAGACCATGGAGATAAACTTTCCCAGCAGGAAGGGGCGCTTCTGTGGGGCACCTGGGACTTGCTGTAGTTCTGCACAGGGAGAGAGCGCCTGCTGTACGTGGACACTTCAGTCGTTGTGCTCAGTAGCACATTTGGGTTTTTTTAAAGTAACCCCTTCCAGCCTGGGATACAGCTTAGCGGCACAGCACAGCAAGGTCAAAAGAATAATAGTAGCAAAAGAATAATAATAAAGTGACCCCTACACCCAAATGCATCAGTGTAATAGACCGCTAAGTTTTTGACTATGTGGACTAAAACAGAGTTTGCTCTAGGAATTGTTGTTTTCACATAACAGTGACAGGTGGAGAATGAAAGCTTTGCTAGCGCTGTTGTCACAAAATGCTGGAGAGGGGCCCTTTAAACAACAGAAATGTGTCCCCTCAGTTCTGGAGGCCCGAGGCCCCATCCTTGACCTCTACATGGCCACCTTTTCCCTGCATCCTTGTGTGGCTTTGCCCTGGCTCCTCCTGCAGACACCTGTGCGAGGACTCATCCTGATCCCTTTCCCAACACCCCATCTCCTGTCCAAACCCATTTTTAGTTGTGTTTGGGCCCACACTGAGGGAACTGGCAGTGTCCACAGGGAGATGGAACTTCTTAGTCCTTAGTTGTTCAGTTCTGTTAAATCCAGAAAGATAGCGGCTTTTTATACTCCCTGGTTTAGGCGTGATGGGGCGCTAATGTGCCCCTCGGTCCCCAGATGCCCGTTGGAGCTGAGTGGCCCTGTGGAGAGCTTGGCCAGGGAGAAGGTTCTCGCTGCCGCCCCTGCATGCGTTTCTCCTGTCCTTGTGTTGCAGCACCAGCAGGGGCCACCCGCACGCCAGCTCGTGTCTGGGCGGTTAACTCATGGTCCCCACCGCATAGCAGTTGTCCTTTGCAGGTCCAGTTCCATATTGCGTCTTGGATGTATTGTCCTGCCCAGAACCACTGGGTCTGTGCTGCTTTGAGCTCACCCTGAGGCCCGGGTGCAGCAGCAGCTCTAGTCCCTGGTGGGGATGTCACAGTGGCTGAGCCAGCTGCCGCTCTTGGCCACCTGCACAGCCCCCCGGTTCCTCTTCCTTACCTGGCTGCAGCTGGAGGGCCGTCTGCCCCTGCTGGTGCCACCAGGCCTGGGCTATGTCCTCCCACAGCCATGCTGATTGTGTGGCCCAAGGTGTCAGGGCCGCCAGGCTGCAGAACAGGAGCCCCCTCCACTGTCCTCTGGCTGTTTTCTGCAGCGTGGACCATGAGCTCTGGGCCAGCAGCAGCTTTCAGCCACAGTGCCAGCTGCCCAGGGCTTTCAGGGCTGGCACAACCCCTTCAGCTGGTGCTGATGGTCTTCTCCATTGAATGTTATCCAAAGCCTTTGTTCGCTTACACAGCGTCATCTTGTTCTGGCCCCCACCTTCTGAGATCGGGGTGCAGCAGCGGCAGCATCTCTTCCTTTGCTGAGAGTTCCTGCGTCCCCCACCCCTGTGCTCCCTCAGCAGGTGGCAGACGATTGCTTCCCTAGACACTGCCAAGTTTGAGCTGCTGAGACCTGTCCCTCAGGTGCTCCAGCCATCTTGATGCTATTGGTCTGCGCATGGACATACAGGCAGCCTCACTCCCTGGGGTCATGGGGCGGTGGGGACACTGGGGCCGCCTGAGACTTCCCACCGTGAATTGGGTGGCACGGTCTATCCAGTGTGCGCTTTCTTCTTTTGAGTAAGTTGTGGTTTATTTTGAATCAGCCTCCTTTCAACCTATTAATATTAGCCGACACTAGCATTCACCTTCCCCTCAATGTTTCTCACACAAGAAGGAGCAAAGTAATTTTGAAAGTTAAATCAAAACAAAGCAATCTTGTGTGCAAAGCCGATAAAAATCACAGACTGTGGTTACGGAGCGCCTCCACAGGAATCGCTGACATAAAGCCGATTTCCTCCCGCCTTGTTATGGAAGGAAAAGGGGGAAATGCTCTGGCCTTATCACGGGCCAGTGCGCTGCGCAGGCGCTCCAGAGCTTGTGTAAACAGTGGCGAGGGGGCCCTCCGCCGCAGCGGCCGTGTCAGGGGGACGTTTTTGGGGGGCAGAGAGGGGGCAGGCAGCATCCCAGTGATTCCTGGGACCGCGCCTTGGACACAGGTCCCACCAGGGCAGAGCGGGACGCGGAGGGCTCTGGGCTCCCGGAGCTGCTCAGGGATAGCTTCTCCCCAAAGGGCACAGCCCCGGCTGATGTCCGCCCCTCAGGTGAGCCAGGGTGGACAGCATGTGGTGTGCAGAGGGAGTCCAGGCAGATGTGTTCCACCCCTTCTTTGCTTCTCTTAATTCATATTTCACCCTTAAGCTGCAGGGTCAGCTAGAACCCCAGACGGTCCCTCTGGACGACCTGAGGGTCTGATGCTTTCAGATAACCAGGCGATTTCCTTTCGAGCAGGTTCTCGGCCCGGGCTGTACAGGAGGTGCTCACCAGTGCGGAGACGCCTTTTCCCTCAGTCCCTCCTTCCTCCTCAGACTCGGGGAGGGGTGGCTCAGCCTTGCGTCCGCCTGGCCTGCGAGCGCCCACTGGGTCACAGCACAGTGGCCAGAGCGTCCGCCTGGCCTGCGAGCGCCCACTGGGTCACAGCACAGTGGCCAGAGCAACTGGCTGCACGGTGGCGCATTGCAGCACCTTCTTAGGGCAAATTACCCCCAAATCACTGGTTTCTTAAATAGATTACAGCTACCAGAAGTTCACCCTTGAGGGAATCTGAAACTGATTTGAATGCCGACGAACGTGGGTAGCAAGATCCTTCACATCTGCCAGCCCCTTTCTTTTTCCCCTCCCAGCTCTGCTCCTCTCCTCGAGGCTCCTGCTCTGTAACTGGAAATGGGTTTTGCCCCACACTTGGGTCAACGCTGGAGTATTAGGTCCAATAATCCTCTTGAGTTATTAGTGTTCTTTTTTTTTTGCCTCCCCCACTTCTCTGTTTGTAGGAGAAAACCTGCAAGGTTAAGGCTTCCTTTCACACCAGGGAAAACGTCTGCCCTGGACAATCTCAGGGAGAAACTGGTGCCTTGGGGGACGCTCTACCGGTTCCCATAGCCATCAAGAGGGCATTGCTGTTCACTTTTGTGTGGGCACCCACCTTCCCTGCCGCCACCACCACCAAATTAGGGAAGAACTAATAAGCTTCGCTATTTTGTTCCAGGTGTTCTTGAATCATTACCAGCCCGCTGAAGACCAACCCCAAATGGTTATCTTGCGATTGTTACGTTACATTATCCGCCTGGTATGGCGAATGCATTGACAAGCTCTTCGTGGAGTCAGGACACCTGCAGATGTTCGCCTGTGCCACCCGACAGGTCCAGCCCGAGGACTCTTGGTGCCAGCGCTACGCAGCCAGAGTTTCTTCCCTGAGAGGTGCGCGGAAGGTGGGCAGCGTGCACCCACGGCAGCTCTGCTGCGCTGGACGCTGGACGCGGACTTTACCCCTCTGTCCCCACCCCACGACAGCATTTCTGTAGAAGTTTGTTGTGAATGTAAACGAGGAAGGATTTTTCTTATTTTTTTTCTTAATGTACAGAATCATGGTTCTCTGGTTCAAGATTGTCTGAGATTGGTGTTTACATGCTGTGTGTGGATGTGGGGTTTTTTTTTTCCACCTTCTTTAATAACAGCTTTTTTCAGAAAGGAAATGGAAACTTTTTAACCAACTTGTGAATGATTTTTATACTAAAATTTTAAAAACTTCAGAGGATTGAATAATCCTACCAGTAGAAACTGAGTCACCTAATTTATAATGCTGACTTAGTTTATTTTTAGATGACAGAGTTTTTAAACAGGGAGATGGAAGTATGATACGTCACTCTCTTCCTTCAAAGTTCTTTTGAACTTTATTTCTAATTATTATAATACCAAAAGATTTCTTATAAAATGGAACTGATTAGGGGGTAGAAGGTATGCCATCCCATCTTGTAAATATTCATGTACCTCCTTGCATTCAGTTTTATCAGTGGCAAAGTTTCTTATGTCTCCGTGCCTCTTCGCGATCCCCATTTGTGACCCCCTTCCAGACCCAGACGCAGGCTTGCGGGTCTGCTCCGGGGTGCTTTCATGCAGTGTTTTTGGGTCAGAACCAGAGTTAGCACACATCTGTGTCACTGCCAGCTCTTCCACCTTTGTGTCACCAGCAGACTGACGGGGATGCATTCACTGGCTGCAGTTGTCATTTAGATGTCAGTGGAGATGAGACCGAGATGAGACAGGAGACCGAGCCTGGCCCCCTTTGCACAGTCCGCAGTCACAAGGCACGCTCTGCAGCCGTCCCAGGGACCCCATTCCCGCCCCATGGGAAGGATGTCTGATGACCATTTCCCAGGCATCCTGGCTTTCGCTCCAGCCCAAGCCCCTGGGCTGCAGTACCTGCACTTGGTCCCATTCCTCTGAGCTGGCTTTGAGGTGGAGACTTAATCCTGCTTTCACCAGTACCACAGAAAACAGGGCGGAGTCTGAGATGTCCCTAAAGCCTTTGCTTCTCTCGTTCTCTTAGGACATTTAGTCTTATCAGGGCACCTACCTTCCCCTAGGGTCGTGCAGGGCCAGCCTGTACATCGGTCAGTCATTTCAAAATCTGGCATAAGGGCAAACAAAGAACAAGACAATCAGACACACACTGGGGTGACCCAGGAGAGACACGGTGAGGGAGCAGGGGAAGGGGGGGCAGGGAGGAGTCTGAACCCCAACCCATGATTTTTGACAACTGATCATTAAACAACTTTTTGAAAGGAATATAGGAGTTTTCCAACACACCAGCAGTACCGGACAGCCGTGGTGTTTGCTTTTTGGCTGACAAGGGATTCGTGTACTCACATTAAATTAAGAAGAAAACCCATTCATTTGTGTGTTCGTAAGTTTATATACTTGTATATAGATATATGTGTATATATATGTATATATATATATTGTCTATACACTTTTTCCTTTAGGTAGAAGTGATATGATTCCAAATATTCTTTTTAAGCATTTTTCCCCTTAAATTTCCAAGTTTTGAATATTTTTGAAAGTCACGTTGGAGCTCAGCTCGTTTCTTGACATGTCTTGAGCCCAGCTATAGGGCCCCACATTGCCGCAGTGCTGTGGCGGTGTTGGGATTGTGGTCACAGCCCTGTAGGCAGGTGCACACACTTGTGCACACGCACACACACCAAAGACATTATCTGGGCCAGCCCTTCCCAGAGCTCTCTGCTCGGTGCCCATCTCTCCGACTTTCCACGGAATACAGCACAGCCAGGGGCAAGAGATCTTCCTGCCTCACCCACCCATGAGCGTGCCTACCTCTAGGGTGGCAGGGGAAGTGGCTCCTGAGGATACAGGTGATTCTGTGAATTGTAGAATATTGCAGGATGGGATGCTGGTGCCAGAATTTACCAAGATGACTGGTTGTCTCTGTACTGTATCTGTGTATCAAAATGCCTCCCTGTGAAGGATGGCTCCTTACTGGGGGTATGCCTTCGACTTTTATTTTTCTTATTATTTTTTAAATTTTTTGTAGATCCTTTAAAAAAGAAAAAAAAGGAAGAAAAAAAAAAAAAAAAAACCAATGCGGGTTTTGTGCCTTGATAACCTCTCTCTGTGAGGTTTGTAAAAAGTGTTCTGTGACTTCACTGAAATGCAATAAACCCAAGTGGCTTTGTGGCTAATTCTACGCATTTCCTTCCAGAAAAACGCATTAAAGCAGGATGGGGGAGGGGAGGGGTGTCGCAAAGCCAATTTAAAATTTCTTTTGATTTAAAAAAAAAAGTGGAACATGATTTTCTTCTGTTTCCCCTTAATATTGTACATATTTTCAACTATTTATTAGATTAGGTTATTTACCAACTGAGCCAAATGTTTGTGTGCAATTGTGTTTCCTTTACCTTTCTTGTAAAGTTTTGTATAGCGTAAATGACTAAAAAAAAATCACTGTTTTTCTAAAACTTTTTTCAGAATCAAGGATTGTAAATATTGTAAATTCTTTTTCTGTGTAATGTGTCCTACTGTTTCATAATGCTGTAACTTGTAGAAATATTGTATATTTATTTTCTGCTTATTTAATGTCTTAAATTCTTGAAAGTGTTGATGTGGATACCCCACCCCCACCCACCTCCCTGGGATTTGCCTCAGCTTCTGAAGCTGGAGATGGTCACTTAGTATCTGCAGACCACATCTCCTGGCTGATTTGGCCTCCAGCTTGGTTCCTGGTGTTCGCTCTTGGGGTTTGCTAAACAAATGTGGCAGGTTACGCCGTTGTACTCTCAAGAAGCAGGCATAGTAGGGCACACCTGTAACCCTAGCACTGGGGAGGCTGAGGCAGGAAGATCACTATGAGTTCGAGGCCAGCCCAGACTGCGTAGTGAGACTCTGTCTCAAAACAAAATATTTCCTTTTTTGTGTTTTGTTTTCACTCCTAGAAATACTTATCAACCTTCTGATTGTTCCAAAGCATCTAGCTTCTCATAGAAGCATATTTGCTAACTCTAGGCCATATCTTTAAGAAGAAAAAGAAAGAAGTATTAGCAGACGGGGAGGATTTTTCCCATTAAAATTTATCCCTGACAACTCAGTGTTGAAAGAAAAAATACGCCACCTCTGGGGATGCTGCCATGTGGTTGTCCAGGGCCAGGCACAGGTGGGCCAAGTGTCTACTGCTTTGAGATAGGCTTCAGGGTCACCTGGGGCCGCTTGTCACCAACTGATGAGTGATTATTCTCCCCGCCTGCTGTGCAGCTCCTGTGCTTTGAGGTGTGGATGAACCAAACTTGCAGAAGAAGCCAGTGATAAGCTGTCTCCCAGCATTTGGTCACCAAGTTTGGTCAGGCAGCTGCTTCAGGTCCATGCCCACTTCCCGCCTCCACCCCCTTTAATAAGAGAGAGTCATCAGGGTCCTGCTGGGTGTCCAGATATGAAAGTCCAGCAAACCCTGGGGGCTTCCGATGGGCCCGGGGATGTCTTCTGTCACCAACCCCTGCTGGTTTAGCCTGGTGCCTGTGTGTGTCCCCTGGGTACACGTGCCTGTGTGTCCGAGGTTGTGACCCCACGTGATGCTAAATCAGCCATGGTCCCATCCCAAGCAGCTTTGTAGGAAAGAAACATCCTCAAGTCCCCACCTAAGTAACTTGACCGCTTTCATTGGGGGAATTCAGGCTTTAGGAGCTGTTAGGTTTTACGTCCAGGTTCCGTGACCACTCTTCACTGTGTCTGGACTCATCAGGTACCTACCGTGTATAAATAGCACTGATCCACCTGTGTACTGACCCATCAGCGCATTTCCCGGGACCCAGCGTATGTAGCATTTTATATCGCAATTTCCCTGGCTTACTTGTGTTTTGCACTGACAAATTTTGACAGGGTGATTGCCACTTTACTTGTGCAATACTGCTGTAAATAACTGCAGATTTTTTTTTAAAGAAACTCAATCTTTTATGTTCTTAATGAATTTTATATAAATAAAACTTTCAACTAGTTTTAGTGAGCCGTCTGGTTTGTTTTCACAAATTGGGGGAAAGACGGATATGGTGTGCCCCACACACGCCTACCCTTCGTCAGGTATCTGGGCGTATGGAGTGCTTGCTTGAGGACATGCTGTGTATATGCTTAAGAGCAAGCCACACTTGAAAATTGAAGTTAGCCAGCGTGGTTTCACACGCCTGTAATACCAGCACTCGGGGAAGCTGAAGCAGGAGAATCATTACAAGTTCGAGACCAGCTTGGGCTACAAAGTGGGTTCAAGACCAGCCAGAACTACATAGGCCTCAAAAAGACACAAAAAGAAAAGAATTGAAGTGGCTGGTGGGACCGATGGCAAAACCCTCTGCCCACAGAGTCAGATGCTGCTCAGCGCTGGGTACAGAGGGGCTGGAAGGAGCTGTGTAGGGAGCCAGCCCTGGGTGTGGCAGGGCCCTGCTGTCCAATCCTATCATCTCAGGCAGAAGACCAAAATGGCTGTCAGATGGGAGCAGAAAGGGCTACAAAGGGATCACTGACAAGTACCTGGCACCCAAGGGGACAAATGGATCACAGCGTCTCACAAACAAAAATTCCTGAGACCTGAGGCTGCAGTGCCCCGTAGGGTCGAGCTGCATTGGGGCTGAGAAGTGAACCTGATTTGGGGACACACATCACCACCTCATACTAAAAAAGGACACGATTTGCCTTTGTGGAACAGGTGCTGGCAAAGCATTGAGTTTGGTTTTAACCTAGGAATTTATTCCTGGTTTTAATTTTGTTTTCCTACTTGTAATTTTAATTCAGTGAGCAATATATAAATATAGTTTTGTGTATTTCATTAATTATATTTTAAATTGCACTTAAGTCAAATTGTTCTGGCTGCCACCCCCAACTGCCTGTCTCCTCACCATGTAAAAATTTCTCCAAACTCTTTTGTCTTTTGCCTACACTGTGTGTGTGAGTGTGTGTGTGTGTGTGTGTGTGTGTGTGTGTGTGTGCTTATTCTACAGTGGTTTTGCATTTTCTATAAATGCTGTGGGGTTCTTTTTGGCTTTGGGGGCTGGGGGGGGGGTTGGTACTGGGATCAAACTCACAACCTTGCACTTGCCAGGCAGGTGCTTACACCACTGACCTAAATGCCTGGACCTAGGTTTTGTTTTTGTTTTTTTGAGACAGGGTCTCTTTATGTGTTCCAGGCTAGCCTTAAAATTACTGTGTAACTTAATCTGACCTCAAACACAGCAATCCCACCTCAGCCTCCCAAGTAAGTGCTGTAACTTTATACTTAGTTCTACTTAGCAATAGGTAATGAACTTCCTCTGTGTCAGGTGCAAAGGCACAGGTGTTAACATCTGCCAAACAGCACCCTGCTGGGAATGGGCTTCAACAGACTGAAGCCAGATTATTTGCAGTGACTGCCCCCTTCCAAGCTGACAGGTTGCTGTCAGCCTGGTGGGTGAAGAGGGAGTGGTGGTATTTGTTTAAACCCGTTTCTGTTTTCTGGTAGGCATTGGCATGTACCTTTTTTCTTAAGGATTATACTTATTTTTAATTGCATCTTTTTTCTTTTCCTATTGATGATCGACTCTACATATTATGAACAAAAAATTTCTTATACACTAGAAATGTTTATCCTTTAATCATTATTTATCTTTTATCCTCCATCATCTTATTACCAAAAAAATTTTTTAATGTTCTCACTTTGTAGTTCAGGCTGACCTTGAACTCACTGTGTAGCCCCAGTTGGCCTTGAACTCATGGTGATCCTCCTGCCTCTGCTTCCTAACTGCTAGACATGCGCCACCATGCCTGGCTACAAAAACGTTTAAACATACAGAAAAATCAATAGAATTTTACGAAGGACTCCTGGCACTCACTACCTGGCTTCTGCCTTTCACGCTGGCTGTCTTGCCATCCATTAATCCATCTTTTGTGCCCATCGCTGGTCACCTTATTCCTAAATATTCAACATATGTGTCATTCAGAGTCCACTTGTTGCAACTTTTCATTAGAGATAAGATTGGCACATGATAAAATATACAGTGCTGTATTAACTGTACCATTTGTTTTAACCAAAGAAACAGCTGTCGCCCAAGTGAAAAGGCAGTCCTGGGGCTTCCGAGCGGTCCCTGCAGCTCCTCCCCAGGGGTCCCTCCCCACTCACCCCCAGGAGCAACTCTGTTCTGAGTTTTGTCCCGTCATAAATTAACTTCACCTGTTTCTGAACTTCCTATGCATGGGCTCATACAGGATGTGGTCACTTGTGTCTGGTTTCTTTTGCTCTGCGTAATGTTTTTAGGATCTATGTTAAAATTATCAGTAATCGGCCCATTGCCTTAAGGGGCACCTGAGCCTTCACCAGTTTGAGGCAGAGATTAATAAATCTGCTGTGATTCTCATAGATAGCCTAAAAGTCCTGTGTGTGTGTGTGTGTGTGTGTGTCTGTCTGTCTGTCTGTCTGTTTTTGTTCTGCTGCAAGTCTTAACTGCTTGTGGTATTTATGCAGACATGACCATTATAGAAGTCAGATTTTTATCAATCTTACGTTTTCTGTATTTTGGTATCTTGTTTAACTCAACTACTTGATCACAAAGTTTAAAAAAAAATTTTTTTAATCATATAACAGTTTAGGGCTTTATTTTTCTTTTCTTCGCTTTAACCCACCTAAAATTTAGGCTTTAGTGATGCAAGGTATGAAATCTGTTTCTATTTCTCCCAACACCCATCATCTTTTTCCACCAACTCAAATGACGCTTTGAGAATATCAGATCCTCATATACCTCGGCTCTTTTTCCATTGATCTTTTTGTTTAATCTCTATTAGTTTAATCTCTATTTAGTTTAATCTCTAATTTTATGCTTTCAATGTCCTGTCCCTATTTTTCAGAATTGTCATGGCTAGTCTGAAGATTCTCTTTCACATACATTTCAGAATTGTTCTAAGCTTCTCTTAAAAGTCCCATGTGGAATTACAGTGACTATACATTAATTTAGGGAAGAATTACCATTTCTTCTAACACGTTTTTCAGCATTTCCACCCATCTATTAGATATAGTTCAGTACACATGATTTTTCTTCCTGTACAACCTGCACAATGGCTGGGCGTGGTGGCGCAGTCCTGTGATTCCAGCAGGAGGGTAAAGACTTTGATCTGAGCAATTGAGTGATTTAGCAAGATCCTGTCTCAAAAAATACAAATAAAAATTGAAATGAGGTTGGAAGCCTGCACCTTCCCTGTTAGCTCTTTTCCAGGGGTGGGGCCCTGGCACCTGGCATCCGTCCTACTTCCACCACAGTTTCCGTTACGGTCCGCTCGCCTTGTTCCTCTGCCTCTGAACTCCTGGCTGTGGTGCAGCAAAGAGCAGACTGGAGGCCAGCCCAAGGCTCCTCCCCAGCACTTTGCATCTGAGACAAACCAGGGCACATGTGAAGGCAGCATCCCGAAGGCCAGTCTTCCTTGGCCTGGGTCTCAGGAGCGCCCAGCCGCCAGGAGCAGCTTCCTGTTGGTCTGGGAGCCCAGTGCCCGCCTCCCCGGCAAGTTCTGTTTGTGCTAAATTAACCAGAGCTGGTTTCTATTGCTGGCAGCCGAAACGCTGACTCACTCCTACCTGTCTGGAGGAGTGAACAGAAAGGTTTCGAGAAACAATGGCCATCCAGAGGTGTGGGGCAGCAAGCTGATGGGTAAAATTCCCCACTGGCAAGGACCAGATCAGGGCTGCGAGGAGAAGGGAACTAGCGAGGCAAACCATGGTGTCTAATCTCTGGGTAACTTCTATCACTTCACAGCTTTTTGCTGAAAATTCACCTTTCCTGGGGAAAACCCCACGACGTCCTTAGAATTTATTCCCGAGAAGGTTGAAGGTCCTGGCTTCTGGGTATATTCTCACTGTATCGCACATATTCCTGAAAGGGGCCTAGGAAAGCCAGATGATAAGCGCTCAGCCTCATCTCAAAGGAAATTTGAAGTCTCCATGATGTATTTTTAGAGCAGTGGCCCAAGTTTGATCTTATAAAGCTACTAGGATTGGGGGTCATTCTCCTACAAAATTGATTTAACTATAAAGCACGGCCATATTACCTAGCACAGACGCGAATATGAAAATGCACAAAGCTAGGACATGCTGGGGAAGCTGTGTCCCTCGAGGTCTCAAGGCCAGTGAGGAGCAAGAATGCAGGAAAGTGCTGCAGTAGGATTCCTGGGGAGGGGCTGCCACCCCATGGGGCATTGCTGCCACCTCCCACCTGGCCCAGCAGAGCCCCCACAATGACCCCTCACCACTGGGCTGTCGCTATGAGTGAGGATCTGAAGATCTCACACCCATTTCAGCACACATAGTCCTTAGATAAAACTGCCATCCTCAGACCTGATGTTTGACTAGAACTCGAGCTATGTGGAGGCCACAGCCCAGGGTGCCCACGTCCACCACGGTCAGGCCCCACATGCGAGCTGAGGGAGTATGATTCAATACATGCATCTCTGACCTTCCGTGTCCCTCTCAGGGCCCAAAAGAGCTGGAACAAGAGGATGAGGCCCGTCAAGGTCTATCTAGCTTCTAGGGGGAACCATGATGTATGTACTCTTACCCTAGAAGAGTTCCAGGCTGTGGGGGACACAGGACTCGGTGGCCTGGCCCAGTCCACCTCGGGAGTGTGTCTGCAGGTCCAGGTCTCCACCCATAGGGCATCTTGACTTTAGCAATGGTCACCTCATGGAGGGACCCTAGTTCTGAACTTCCTGTCTGGCTCAGTGCTTGCCGTCTCCTGGGATCTTTCTACCTGCTCCCTAATAAGCAATTCCAGGCTGTGGCTGGGCAGCAGAGCCTCTAAGTCAAAGCATCCTCCAGAATCATCGGGCCAGTAACAGCACAGTGAAACAAGTGGTCCTCTCCAGGGAGAGGGCTCCAGAGCACTGCACAGCAGAAGATGCTTTCTGTTTGTTTCAGTCTGGGTTGCACTGCAAAACCTGCTCTTCTGGTCTCTGCTTCCCCCTCCCAGTTTGCCCTGGCACAGGCATCTGCTCCT